ACAAAAACAGCCATAAAAGTAATAACTCACAGTATGTCTCACATTTGCTTTTAAATGAAGATAATGCCAGAGCTAGTCCAATACTTGGGGGCATAAATGAGGCTCAGTGAGGCTCATACTGTAAAGCATGTCTGATACATGCCATTAAGAGCTTTGGCAAGCAGGAGTACAAGAAATTCCTGGGATATTTGAGAGATTGAGTACTGCGGTCATTTTAGTCCTGTTTGTCTGAGGCAAATGATCCAGAAACAGATTTAGAAAATCTCAGAATATATAGAAAATAGAAATATAACTCAAATGACAGAATGACTCAGTGATTGTAATGGGGCTGTAAAACATCCGAGCTGCATTGATGATAACAATTCAAGCTGAAAATTATTCAATGAAAATTCTACTAATTTTTTTGTCTTTTATGCAGTGAAATGCCAAACATTTTGTTGTTAAAACTCCTCAAATGTGCAAAAATTTTCTGCTTTTCAACAAAAGTTTCAACTATCAAGGGGAAATAAATATGTGTGTGTCATCAGCATAACTGTTATGTCTAACCCTAAGTATCATAGTCTCTTTAAAACTGGTGATATTAGGAACAACAATTTCATTTCTCTACAAAAACATTTCTCTGGCTGAAAGTTTTCTTCCGAAATTCCGGGGTCTTCACAGTGCATGTCAGTGGTCCAATTAATACTGAATCTAGGTCTTCATTCTCTAAGGAATAATAAGACCTGCGGGGGAAAAGGTCTCTGAGTTATATTTCACATCAAAATGAGCAAAGTCAGTTATAGTGAGGACAGCTCAGTTCATGCCATGTGAGGTTTCAGACACCTGAGCCCTCGCAGGAGAACAGGTCATTTCTGTCTGAGCAGGAGGATTTGTGAAGGATAAAGAGCAGGTCTAATTGGATTAAAGTGGACTCTGCACAGTGTCTTTATTATTTGTCTGCTATAAATGTGGATCTCTCTATATGCACATCATCGGCCATTAAGAGACATTATGTATTTAGATATTAAGAAGCCTTTATTTTGTTTATTTTTACAGATAAATAAGACAGTCTACAGTTAATGGCTCTGTGAGGCAGTAAACACAGCAGTGCTTTGAGATAAATGCTAATATCAGTATGCTAACATGCTAATGTTAGGTATAATGTTTACCATGTTCACCATTTTACTTGGTTATTGGGCACAAAACCACAGATTTTTGGTACTTCCATATTGGCTTCGTTTCATTTCAGCTACAAGACAGAGAACTGATGTTATGCTAGCAAAATTCAAAGTCAGTAACACTGCGACAGTCGACAAATGGTAAATATACTTTGACAGCATAGACAGGCTGGATATCCAGCCATGTCATTGTACCCAAATCAATATTGAGATTTTGTGAACTGATGGCCGCAGCCTGAAGTAGCGGGCTGAATAGTACATACGATGTGTGAGAATCGCTTATACAAATTATCAGTAAGTTCAGAGGGGCAGTGTAGGGCACAGTACCCCTTACTGTGTGGTACAGATGCCATCCTGTGGTGTTGAGAGGATGAGGCACTGAAGGAATGCACTCAGTGTTGTGAGACATACAGATTTTGTTTTCAATAAATTTACTTCATTTGTTTCGCTGGAACTACTTAGTGTCCTATATCAGGAATTAATGGACCCCAGCTTCCAATCAGAATTGAGTATTGGTCTAATGATTGTTAAGTTGCTGTTATAAGAAACAGAAACATGTTGCTTTTTACATGAAGTGTGCAGAAATGAAGAACACTATGACAAAATGTGATTGCAACGTCGTCTGTCACTGTGACGCATCAGCAGATCAATTTGAGCGAGGCCTCTGATGGTTGGTTACACTTCAAGGTCACTTGCTGATTACAGTGAAGCATGAGGAGGGGGATGTGGTTTCTAATCTGATCCATACACAAGTGAGGTGTGTTTGTGTACAGCTTGTAAATGGAGTATCGTTGACCCTGAAATACATCAATTTAATAGTTCTGAAATTACAGTACAGTTTTTTTTATTATTGTATGAATGTTCTGCAGTGTAATGATGGATGTTTATTACACAACACTTCCATCCCATGGGTAATATCACAGCGCAGGGCCGCCAGCACAAATCCATCACTGCTGACGCGTTGACTTTGACACTCAGCTTTATTGCGTGACACACATGAAAATAAACAGAAAACAAAGGTTGGATCCAGACTGTGAAGTACAGCCTCCTCTGCTGGTGCCCCAAAGTGTTCAATATTTAATTTAAATAAAAAGATATTATGAAATATAATAGTCTTATTAGACTTATTTTCATATTGTTTTTTAATAGTTAATGCCCTTTCACCTTTCAGCCAATCACATGCCCCCCTAAACAAGACAACAGGAGCAACTTCTGCCATACAAAATATGTGACTAACACACACACAATAATTATACATGCACAGAGAGAAGTCATGACACACACAGCCTCTCACACACACACACACAAAAGCATTTAGTAAAACATGGTTAAATCGCAATTTTTTAAAAGCTGATTCCACTCTAAGCCAAGAGCTGAAATGAGCTTTAAATGCAGATTTAAAAATCATGGTGGATTACAGCATACTCAGGTGGTTGGCTTCAATATAATCTCGAGTAGAAATAAAAGACCTGCTGTGAGTCTTAATGTCACAAAATGCACTTTGAATGGTCACATTACAGCAGGTAACAAACAGGTCTTGAAATCAATTCATAATAACAATACATATCTGATATCACATGATATTTACAGCAGTTGAAAAATCAGTCTCAATTTAAACAAAAAACAAACAGACAAAAATTAAGTAATATAATGATTTCAAATGTCCATAGCAAAGTGGCATATAGTGTTCAGGTGTTTTGAATGTGTTGTGTTCAGGTATTGATAGAAAGCTGATAAAAGCTCTAATCCTTCATACAAACTCAAAAACAACACAAAATTGAAATGCTTTCTAATCCAATTTAACAGGCAATGTGTCTTTAGGAGAGCAGTCCGTCGTTCAAAGGATTATGTGCTGCGTGAGAGCAGTTTGGCTGCTATTTGACTCTCCTCGTTGCTTTAAAGATTAGTGTATAATACTGCTGCAGCTTGGGGGAATTGAAAGAGAAGACTTGATTGTTTTGCTTTCAGGAGCAGCAGGATGTCCCCTCATGTTAAACACCTTTTAAATGTCAAAATGATGTAAGCATGCCTATGCTGAGGTGAAACTTTAATTTGTTCATGATTGTACTTTTCTGTTTTTGCACTCACTCCTTTAGGAGGTATAAGGAAAGGGGCAGAGATATGTCCTATAATGAGAAGTCATAGGGGTGAGGAAAGTGTGAGCATAAATTCAAGACTGTCAGACTTAGATTAAAGAGGAAGTGCTCACAGTGCAGACTTAATCTTATAAAAGGAGGGTTACATTAAACTGATATGGCTGCCTGTGATTTTAGTGGCTTACAAACTGAAACTGTATGAAACTTGTGCACTGGTTTGACCTGACCTGACCCTAAAGTTGCTCTAATTATAAAATGTGAAAGGTGTTTCTTTTATTGCGAACCCACACAGAATTATCCTTCAATTCTGCAGCTCTCATCAGCTCTGTGAAACATCTTACCATCTTTCAGCTCACTGTTTTTGTTTTTTGGCCCATTGTTGATTCACTCTCTCTGCTTTCACTAGCTTCATTTCCAGACATAGGCAGTTCTAATAAACCCACTTTACACTCCAACAGTCACAGTTAGCTCCTAGCTGCATATATATAAATATAGATATGAATATAGTCAAGCATTTAGCAGCTTAAGAGGCAGAATTGTTTACTCAGGAGTTGGTGGAGACCAAAAACAGAGCTTAAAGAAAGTGAATATTGGACTTAAGGGATGTCTACACCAAGAACAATAACTATAACAGTAACTATAAATATATCTTTTTAAAGATCATTCTGAGTCAAGTGAAGTCCACACTGCAACTATAATGACGACAGCTTTGAACAATATCATTACATTTGAGAACGATTTGATAAATGATATTGGGGTATACAACTTATTAAACACTTATAATAATTATATTTTAGACAGCAAATCACACATTAAAAAAAAACATAATTTTACCTCTTGTTGTGCTGCCCCCAAGTGTTGGGGGTAAAAAATCAGTGAATACAGATTTAAATAAAGTTTTCCTTACCTGCTTCTTCAAATAAAAGACTTCTATCTTTCCTTGATCACACCAAGGATGAGCAGCAAGATGCTTGTTATCTCTTTAAAATATTGATGGCCTAACATAACAATGGGAGAGAAGAATAAAAGCTAATATAGGACAAGTTAAATTTCAGGAAGCGCTATCTGATGCTGATCTCAATACATGAAGTAAGTTTAGTTTCAGTAAAACTGCATCTTGTTGAATTGTGTAATGTCGCTCTACATTTACTTAAAACAGCATTCAAGGAATTTTAACCTTGTTTAGCCTTGTCCATCTGTGGCGAGGTTTCCCATCAGGATTAAGGGGGTGTTCACCCCCAGCAAGCAGCAGACTAATCTGCATGATGCAAGCGGCTCTGATTTCATACTGTGCAGCTTGTGAATGTGATAAGATGTAAGTACAAAATAATTCACTGTCAGTTCTTGGCGATGACTGAAAAGGAGTTTATTTTTTAAGTTAGGTTATTGTTGTGTAACACAATAACTACAAAATAATGTAGCTTGTCGAGCAACTCAAGACCCACTTACTCACTTTGTTTTCTGGAGCTTTCTAGAGGTTGTTGCCTCTTGACTCTGAAACCATAACATCTTTAAAATCGTATCTTAAATTGATTGATTGATTGATTGATTGATTGAATAATTGGCTGCTGTTGTTAGCTGTACTTAAACAAAATATAATACATATACCTGAGTTTCTAATTTGAGTTTTTCTTTTCTCCAGTAAAGGGTTTACACTTTCCAGTATTAAAAACAAATAACGCGATGTCTGTGTGCAGCTGTGAGCGACAAAGACTAAATTTGCTCATTGGTGTTTCTATTGTTTCAGGTGATGGGATCCCCAAAGAGAGCAGCCCTTTCATCAACAGCAGTGCAGCCAGTGACGCGGAGAAGAGCCAGCAGTATGACGGAAAGAATATGGCTCTGTTTGAGGTGAGGACAGATCTCAAAACCCAGTATAAAACATACTGGGAATGATGGGTGGCCTCTGAGGGATGATGCAGACAGTTTCATATTACCAGTAGCTCTCCAGGTCTGATGTCTTTATGTGTGTGTTGCAGGAGGAGATGGATACCAGTCCAATGGTCTCCTCTCTGCTCAGCAGCCTGGCCAACTACTCCAACCTGCCAACAGGCAGCAAAGAGCATGAAGAGGCTGAGAATATCGAGGAGGGGGCACGTCCGTCTAAAAAACCTGTCAAGGTAGATTTCTGCGTGTGATCCCCACCCTGCAAGAGTTTGAACCAGAAGAGCAGAAACTGTAACAGGCATTAGAGAGGAAACTTTACATGTCTTTAATATGTCAAGTTTTTGCTTAGTACAGTTATTTTAAAAAAAGGCTGCTGAGGAGGGTATCAAGGCAAACTAACCATGAAAGCAGTTATGTTGTTAAGATGTTATATGATCCACAATTTAGCCAGCTGAGCCACTCAAATGCATTGCATTGCAGTCTATTTCTGATGCTTGTTTTCACAGAACCTCTCTGATTTCCAGGAAAATTGAGCAAATATTAAGCAATAGTTGTTTCCTCTTATCATTTATTGGCCCTCATCAGGGTTTATGTCGGCTCAGTTATCCTGCATGTGTTCAGTGGAGCATAAGACAGGGTTAGTCACACAATAACCTGAATCCTCTCCAGGTTTTTACTCTAGTTATTGTCTAGGGCAGTGGTTCTCAGCCTGGGGCCCGAGGACCAACAGGGGTCCTTCAGTGGAGAAAAAGGAGGGATAGAATACTTTTAGTTTTTTGGTTGAAATAACAGTGAGTTGAAGAAACAGGGTTGGACATTTTTATTGATTGTAATAAATAGTGATTCCAGTTTGATCATTGGTTGACAATGGAGACTTTATAATCTTGATTGAATTTTTTAAGGCACAATCCTCTCAAATTGGGGGTCTGTGGTGTAATGTGCATCTATTGTGGGGGTCCTTGACATTAAAAGGATTGGGAACTCTGGTCTACAGCAGTAGTTTTCAACCTGAGATCCAGGGATTTTGCTTTTTTACGCTTTTTTATATACTGTATATACGTAACATTATCTTTATTGAGTTTTCAAAGATATACATGCGTACAAATCCATTCCCCCCTCACTAAAATCCCTTCAAATAATACAATTAAAGTGTAAAACAATAAAATAACAGACTGCTATATCAATTACCAAATTACTTACACATATGGAAATAATGTTGAGCTATTAAATCATAGCGGTCAGTAGAGGTGTTTGAGGGCTTATGTGGAAATGTGCAAATGAGTGCATGTTAATGTTGCTAAACTCCATCTAAATTAAGATCCTTAAACAAATTAAATGATATTTCCAGTTAAGGCATAAAAGGACCAATTTATCAGTGGTAGGAACATACTAGTTAAGTGTGACCATATTTTAAGTTTATGTGATACAACAGGAGTGGTGGCTGAGCTATCTGTCGAGTAAGGCAGGGTGGATATCAATGTTGCCTTTAAGCACATTTTCAAGTGTGTTTCATTGACTTTAAATTTCACAACATAGAAAATGAACACAGGAGTTGACTTGTGGTGGAGAGTTGCTGTGTTCGCATATGCAGAGCACTGGAGGCAGTGACTTGAGGTCATACACCTGCAGGTAGTGTGATCTCATTAGCTGAAGCTCAGCCGACACCGCTGCCCTCAGTGAGTGACTGACAGTAATAACCTCAAACTAGAATTATTCTGCTTTTTCAGTTGTGTCAGTGAGGCATGGTTTTGTCTCTTTCTTTTCAGCTCTTTGTGCTCTGTGAAAACTATTTGCATTTTGAATTACTCATCTATTTCAGGTTTAAATCATTGACATATGCTGCATCTGGCAGAAACTACTGAATACAAAAAGTTACAAAAAAAATATTGTAAGAATAACCGCTGATGAGTGAGAATTAAAAATTAAGGATGTCACATTGTCCAGGGCACAATAAAAATAGCACCGGGGAGACGGTGTCTACAACAATCCTGGGACAGTAGAGAAATTGACCAGTGAAATCATAAAATGTATGTGTCATGGAATATGTCATTTTAATTGGGTGTTCAAATTCAAGAAATTTGAGGTGGCACCCACAAGAGCTCTAAGCTATGTCACACACACTCTTACACACCTAAACTCATTCATAGAGAGGTCTCTCCCTCTCCTCTTGCGCCATGCACAGGCAGTTTTTTTTTTTTTTTTTTTGATTCGTTTTGTAGATTATTTTTTAAATAAAAACGTTGCTGTAGTGAGTTTGTGATTATTATGTATTTATTTTCCCCGCTGTATACCAATCAGAAACCAGTTTGCATTTATTGATCAAACAGTTAGAAATGAACAAGTAACTCAACCAATGACTAAAAGAATAACAAAGCTGATTGTGACCAAACGCCCCAGGTGATTTCAATTATTTATTCAGATATAAGTGTAGGGAACAAGTAGCAGAACTTCCATGGTGGACCAGAGTGAGTCGTGATGTGAGTTAGTGTAACAAAGATATTAAACTGTATTCATTATGTATGATGAAAGAAATCCACTCGGACAGTGGTTGTTATGTCTGGGATATGTTAAAGGGGAATTTACTTCAAGTGCCCTTAGTATTTATAAGCAGTGTATAAACATTAATTAATTATTTAAAACACATTATAATGTAGTTAAAGCAGATATAAGTTAACAACTATAACTCTTCCTGGAGCCACCCATAAGAGGATGCTATCGATAATGAATGACAATACATTATATTGTATTCTATTTTATATAAATATGTATATACAATAAGTATATACAACTACATTATACATACATTATAAGCCATGTATTAAATGTTCATATACTGCTTATGAATGCTAAATATAAAGACTTGAAATTAACTGTTAACCCTGCTATACAGCAGCACATTTATGCATATTAGAGAGGACCTTGATATCTTTTGCACTCATTTAAGGGATTAAGATTGCGGGGAAAGACACAGACAGAGGAGCCGGTCACTAGATGCTGAGTAAGGGGTCAGTCTGTGCAATATGAAGACACTCTGAAGACTGAGTTACTTGGAGGATCCTGCAGTGCGGGCAGTCAAGAGCATCACTGGCTCACTCTCACCGGCTTCCCCCTGTGGACCAAACACAAGCTGTGACTTGTCTGATCTGTCCGTTCATCTTTCAGCTCCTTCTCATCACTTCTGCTCATAGAGGGCTCTGCAGAATTTAAATGAGGACTTTAGAAGGTCAAGAAAAGACTTATTTTGTTTTCTGATGTATTCTTTACACAGTCACACGGGTAGTGTTAAAAATGTAATATAACATTTTCTGTATCCAGGTACAGTTAAAAATTTGTGTAATGTAAGGGTGAAAAGGGATATTAATCTCACACAAAAAAAACAGCAACAAAATAGTATGAACTACTTTTAGCTTTTATAATTTAATAATGCAGAATTTATGGATAGAGGTCTGCAGATATTTATTATGCATGCTGGAAAATGTTTGAATTTCTTTCCAGCCGGCCGAGACAATTTCATTTTTTGTTGAAAATGTTTAATTTAATTTAACACAAAAAGACGAATAAACACTTATCTTGCCGCTTCTCTTCAGACAGGGAACTTCAATAAAACAGACCCATTACAAAACAAAGAGCCTGTCTTCCTCTTGTACGCAGGATTACCATCTCTTTGTTTTTGAAAAGAATAAACCCCTTTCCAATGAAAGAGTTGGACCTCGTTTCATGAATTTAAAAGTGAGAGCAGATTAAAGGAGACTCAACAACAAAGTGCACTTCTAAAAAGATTATAAATCCGATTTCAAATTCAGTATGATGAGCTAGACTGACAACTAACACACAAACTTTGACCAATCACTTTTCCTGTTTGTGTTCCTCAGGCTCCACAGCTGGGCACTCTGATGGGTGTGTACTTGCCGTGTATCCAGAACATTTTTGGGGTGATCCTCTTCCTGCGGATGACCTGGATGGTTGGGATCGGAGGCGTCTTCGGCTCTTTCATAATCGTCTTCATGTGTTGCTCCACCGTGAGTAAAACTGCAGACATCCTTGCTGTGTGCCGTCCTATTTGTTGTGTAACACGACCACTTTCTGTCACTGATGGCTGCAGTCCACTCAAAAAATGTTACAATAAAATATGGCTGTTAAATTTAATACAGGGCAATAGAGCCATAAACATCAATTAAATTATTCTAAAAGTGGTTCCTCAGTGCACACATTCCCAGTTCATGGAGTCTGTGATTAAACCAGAGGCTGTTATAATTTAGATATAATTATATTTAATTATAATTTGCATGGCACAGATGCTGAAGGTGACTTAGGTGACTTAAATCCTGGCATAAGGCAATTTGCCAGTAAACCCTTTAACACTCCACCATCACCAAACATTTTGCTGCTCTGTCAACAACCAGGTTTTAAAACTGTAATTCATAGCATAATGTAAGTTTTACAAGAAAAGAAAAATTCCTCATCTGCTGCTTTAGATCCAATCCAGCAAGTAAAACTGGGAAATGAAATACTATAAAACTAATTTTATTAAATATGAAATGAAAAGGTGTCAAGTAGCTTCTCACATATGCCTAGAAAGGTCTTGTATCTCTTTCTCAACTCACCCTGAGTACTTACTTTATCATGTTAAGCCAGTAGTTGTTAGATATGGGTAATCTGTTGTGTGTCCCAACAAAATCTGCAAACTAGTAACTGCTGTAATCAGATCATGATTTTAATTATTTAGCACTTATCAAAAACAAGTTGTATTCCTCCACAAAAGAAGAAAATGGCCATGCCAGTTTTTTCACTGGCAAAATGAAGCTTAAATTTGGCGCGTTATTTAGCCCCCTTATCGATGGATGGATGGCCCAAAGGACGCGTTAGGTCTAGTTTTTATATGGTATCAGTATCTTCACTCTAGCTTTAAAACCCGCTACAGCTTTGGAAAAAGAGTGGAAGTGGAAGAGGTAAGAATGATGGGGTGGTGCCAATCAGATTTCAAGGGTGGCCAGTGATACCCCAGGCCCCCCCTCTGGATGGGCCCCTGCTCTAACGCTACACTTGTGTTATTTTAACAGGTTAGAAAAAGAGTCAGGAGGAGGTAACTCCTAAGTTATTATAAAATTATATGCAGTCTTCTATTGGATCCTGTGAGTGGTCTTGCTGTATTCAGTCAGTTGTAGTAGGGAAGATGTAGTTCCCTCTGAAATGTAGTGGAATAAAAGTCTCACAAAATGGAAATACTCAACTAACATTACCTTGAAAGCGTACCTGATCTTTTTAATAATTTTGTTTCTGGCTGCAGTAGGGAGTATCACTGAAGTCACAGTGTGTGCCTAACCGGCCATGTAGTCATCCCTGCGATGAACATCATGACCACATGAATCAGCCTCTTGTGCTGCTGGATGTTTTTCTTTGCTCACTTGCTCCGTTCATCAAGACCCCGCAGTCAGCCATATTTAATTTGACGTGCCCACCTGCTGCCTCTCAGTAACCCTCCTCTTTCGTGTGCTGCTTTTTTCAGACGATGCTCACAGCCATCTCCATGAGTGCCATTGCAACAAATGGGGTTGTACCAGGTGAGTGTATATCCGAGGGGGTGTATTAGTGTGTTTGTGCGTGACACAAGCAGTGCACTGACTCTTGTGTGTGTTTGTGACTCACAGCTGGAGGATCATATTACATGATCTCTCGCTCCCTGGGGCCTGAGTTTGGTGGCGCTGTTGGGATCTGCTTCTACTTAGGCACCACTTTTGCAGGTGCCATGTACATTCTTGGCTGTATTGAAATTCTGCTGGTAAGTATCTGTAATTATGAAATAATAAATTACACATGCATTGTTTTGAATATTGTCTTTTCAGCCTTATTTTGGAGTGAAATTCGTCTAGTTGAATCATCAGTGCTAAAAATAAACAACTGCATTGAAAATATCTTGTTCTCTAATAAAAAAACTTAAATGCAGCTGAATTCACTAAGTTTCTCTTCTATGTACCATAAAAACTATTTATTATGAATTGATTATCAAAATGGTAGCCAATTAATTTTCTGTGTTTTTTATGTGACTAACATCAAATAATTAAGAATTATTTGGATGCATAATTGGTCGTATAGAGATTAATGAAATTAAATGAAATAAAAACAAAAATTGAAAAATCCTAAACTACAAAATGCTTCATCATAAAGTCAACTTAAAGAAAATGAGTCAATGGAACAAATTTTTATTTTATCCTTGAGAAAGGAAATGCAAAACAGAAAGGACAGTAGAAAAATAATACAATAAAAAAGTTTGTAACATGTAAAATAGCAGGAAAAAAAGAGAAAATATTGGTCATATTTTAGAAAAAATTACATGTGAATGCACAACATCCCCATTAAAATCATCACTTAAAATACTGCACACATGTTAGTGCGCTCAAAACAACTGAGTTGCTTCAACAATTAATTTTTGAGTTGAGTTGGATTAATATATGTCAAAATATTTATTTTATTAAGATGTGTTTTAAGATGTGAAGTTTTATGGTGTAATGTACTGTGTTTAATTTTCTTTTATTGTTTCCATGCGCTTTCACCTTTATCTGCCACATTCTCCTCCCTGTACTTCCTCCATCGATCCCTTCTGTCAGATTTACATCATTCCTCAGGCAGCCATCTTCAAGATCGAGGGCCTTGAGGGACCAGAGGCAGAGTTGGCTCTCCTTAACAACATGCGGGTGTACGGCACCCTTGTACTGAGCTTAATGGCACTGGTGGTGTTCGTGGGGGTCAAATATGTGAACAAGCTGGCACTGCTCTTCCTGGCCTGTGTCATCCTCTCCATCCTGGCTGTTTATGCCGGAGTCATCAAGACCGCCATCGACCCCCCTGTCTTCCCGTAAGTCACTTGTTCATTCACAGGTCAAAATCTCCGGTGATGATCAACATGATGGTATGTGACAATAATGCTTCTGTTGACTTTCTTCACAGCGTCTGCCTCCTGGGAAATCGGACTCTTGTTTCTAAAGGATATGACATCTGTGCAAAGGTCATTGAAATAGACAATGAAACCATCACCACCAAACTGTGGAGGTCCTTCTGTGATTCTGAGTACCTCAATGCCACTTGTGACGAATACTTTACCAACAACAACATCACAGAGATACAAGGCATCCCAGGGGTCACTAGTGGCATCCTGGCAGGTAGGAGATGCCTTATCAGTATAAATGACAATACCCTCTGAGGATCAGTCACTTCACATGCTCATTTAAATACATCTGTCTTTTAGAGAACCTGTTTGGTAACTACCTGGAAAAAGGGATGATCCTGGAGAAGCGTGGGCTTTCATCGGACGTGGATCCAGATAGTCCCACAACTAGCTCCAACCGCTACGTCTTGGCTGACATCACCAGCTTCTTCACCCTGCTGGTCGGGATATACTTTCCATCTGTCACAGGTAAGCACCAGACAGGACAAGAGGAGGTGCTCACCCAGTTAAGGCTCTTTAAAGCTGCTCTAATCTGTATTTCTATATAAACAATGGATCACATGAATATGAGCAATGTAATAGTGATCAAACTATGCTATAGTTCTGTTCTGCTGAGCATTTCATGGTCTTTTAACTCAGTGTTTGGATTTTAGGGCTCAGAACTTTACTGTTTTGGTTTCACGCCTGCAACTTTCATCAGTGTTGTTTCAGAATCAGTGAAAAAGCTCTGCACAGCACCAAACAGCAGGCAGACAAAGTTATCTGCTGGCTGGTGAACATAGTAAAGCATTTATCTGTTAAAGAGACGGATAACTATCTTTCTTAAAAGTTGTTGTAGACCAGAAAAAGAAGAGAAACAGTTGGACTTCAATTCATCAGGTGGTCAGAGAGATGACTCCAAACGAATGCTGACTAGTTCACCTCATTAACTTTTACAGGGGATAATATGTCAATGTTGTGTTTACAACTTGTTTTTCTGCTGCTTTCAAGACGCAATGATCAATTATTGCAGGTTTAAAGGCCTGACATCACTTAACTGAATATAGTCTTCCTGTATATTTTTTAACAGACTTTGAACAGTGATATATAAATAAAGAAAAGCCTGTGAGCTCAGTTAGGCAGTCAACTTGAGACTAAACTCAGATGTCATACTCTTCTCACTGCAACACATATCCAACTTTTAATTGTTGTATTTCCAGTTTGCATTAAAACTGTCTTGATTTAATGTTGTGTTTTTAAAAAAATGTCCACATTAAGAACCTGATTACTCCAGTGGACAGAAAAGAGATAAACCAAAAGTAAGTATTACCTTCCGATGTTGGTGTAAAAGGACAAAGCTCCTGATTATTTCCTCTTGCTCCACTCACAGGTATCATGGCGGGCTCTAACCGCTCTGGAGACCTGCGTGATGCTCAGAAGTCGATCCCCATCGGCACAATTGCAGCCATCACCACCACATCTACTGTGTGTATCCTTTACTGGGCCAAGGTCAATTAAACAAAAACTGTGGGGATCTGACAGTGCTGAGCTCACCGGGCAGAGCATGTACGACATATCAAGGCTGAGTCTCTACCGCATCAGCCTGAGTTTGAACCTGGCCCTGGGCCCTTTGCTGCATGTCTCCCCCTCTCTGTCCTGTCATGCTCTACTGTCATTTCCAGATAAAGCAAAATGCCAGAGAAGTTGTTTTGTTTTGTTTTTTATAGAAAGTGCTGATTGTTGACTTTTATATAACCTTTTGCATCTTGTCATAATGTTTGGATCTAACATTTCCAACCATACCATTTCTTAACATCTTTTTCTTAGACATGTCTTGTGTGGTGTTGTTTGGTGCCTGTATAGAAGGAGTAGTCCTAAGGGACAAGTAAGTGAATTTCAAGTAATTTTATGATAATTAGGGTTTTTATTAGTATTATTATTGTTATTTGTTTGTTTTTTAAATCAAAGTGGAATATAGATTCCAGTCCCTTCAGGATTTTGCAGCCTTTTTTGGGGGATTGTTGCCTGATGCCTGATTTCATGGCAGCTTGGAAATTGCAGGAGAAAGTGAAAACTGCAAAACGGCAATTTTTTAATACAGAATTATAATTAATACAAATCTGAGGCCAGTAACCTTACCAAAAAAGGTCTGCATAGTGTCCATCTTCACAACCAGAAACCTTTAGAAATGCCTTTGGTGACATATGGCTAACCATTTTGCGCAGGAGACTACAGTGATTGGTCAAATTTGCAAGGTTTTGCAGAATTCACAGTGATTGGTTGAATTTGCATTCATTTTTGCAACCATTTTTCACTGTTTCAAAAATTCCTAAAAACTTTGAGTGGTTTATCTGACGCCCGTTTTGTAAACTAGCTCACTGTGTCAGAACAAAAACTTGACATGCGGGCAACAGTAACAGTAACAGTAGGACGGGGGGCTTAGGAAACAATCATATGTCCGGTCACATATCAATTTAAGAGCATTAAATAAAGTATTTTGTCTTCACCTCTCTCTACAGGTTTGGTGAAGGGGTCAATGGTAACCTGGTGATTGGAACTCTGGCATGGCCATCTCCATGGGTCATTGTGTTTGGCTCTTTCTTTTCCACTTGCGGAGCGGGGCTTCAGAGTCTGACTGGAGCTCCACGTCTCCTACAGGCCATCTCTCGAGACGGCATCATCCCATTTCTTAGAGTAAGTACACATGTAGCATTCAAAAGTGTTTAAAACTTCTCAAAGCCAGACTAACGCATGTCAACTGGACCAGAGCTTGTGTGGAAGCATGTGTATTTTCTCATTTAGGCTGTTCAAACATTATCATTACATTACTATATTATTAAAATCCCATAATTTATTTGAATAGCACTTTAATTTAATTTAAGGACCAATATGTTTTTTTCAGGGTCGATACAGATATCAATTATTGGTAATAAAGGAAACCAATAACCAATATTTGGAACTAATGGCATGTTGAAAAATAATAATATACATATTTCATTACACACTGATGGAGTATTGGATCGGTAAAGTTCAGGTATCAGGAAGGGAAAAAATCTGAATATCTCTAATTTATTTTATAGGCAATTGGATAAAAAAAATAATTATACAGATAATCAGAAAAATTTTGAATATGGAAACCAATAATTGGTTTATCCCTAATTCAATTTAACCCTTTCATGTTGCTGCAGGTGTTTGGACATGGGAAAGCTAACGGGGAGCCCACCTGGGCCCTCCTGCTCACAGCTTGCATATGTGAGATTGGCATCATCATTGCGTCCCTGGATTTAGTGGCACCCATCCTCTCCATGTAAGTCACTTCACACACACTGTATGTTCATTTCTGTGCAGACCCACTATATCCTTCTATATGTATCCTGACTTGTCTTCCTTTTTTTAATTCTGTGTATTTCTCTCTCTCTTTTCCTCCCTCCATTCTTCTGTCGTTCTCTTTTTAGGTTCTTCTTGATGTGCTACATGTTTGTCAATCTGGCCTGTGCTCTGCAGACTTTGCTGAGGACACCAAACTGGAGGCCACGCTTTAAGTTCTACCACTGGTGAGCTTGTGTGTCAGAGTTGAAAGACTTACATACATATCAGGGCTGTTTATTGTGTGAAACACTACTTGATTTTGTTTTGAAAGCTGCTGTGTAATAACACGTTATTAAATTCGTGACGTAAGCACCATTTACTTTCTATTGCCACATTTGTCACAAGTTATAGCAGGAAAAAGATTTCTCAGGAACAGCGGGCACCTGTGAGATCAAATTTGCTGACAATATCAACTGATGTCTGCACCTGAATCACCATGGGAAACCAAAGAGTTTAGCAGCAGCAGATTAAATACAAAACTTTCTTTCCACAAGCTGTGGTCATTGTTGTGTGAAGCTGGCAGAAATTTTCAGACCGAACGTGTGACTTCTTGTCCCCTGCAGGGCTCTGTCTTTCTTGGGTATGAGCCTGTGCCTGTCACTCATGTTCATCTGTTCCTGGTATTACGCCATAATCGCCATGGGCATCGCCACCTGCATCTACAAATACATTGAGTTCTGTGGGTAAGTAATCATCATGACAGCGACTAAAAACAAGAATAAAATTGTGTCGCAGAAACCAACATCCATTTATTCTGCCAGTAGTTGTTTTAGTTAAATGATAGTGATGGATTGGCTAGCTTTAATTGACCATAAATGCTATTGAGCATGTATTATATCATGATTCCTGCCAACCGATTAATGTGCTGTGTCACAGAGCCGAGAAGGAGTGGGGTGATGGAATACGTGGCATCTCTCTTAGTGCTGCTCGCTTCGCTCTCATGAGGCTGGAGGAGGGACCGCCACACACCAAGAACTGGAGGTCAGTCTTCACACCTTCAACTTTTAAACTCTCACAGTTAAAGCTACGTAATATTTGGTATTTGTGCAATTTGGGCACCCCCAGTTGCAATACCACTGTCATACAGCTGTACACGTGCATTTCTATTTGCAATCTAAAACACACTCTTTTGGTGTTTTCGGGTTTTTGTCAGGCCTCAGATCCTGGTTCTGGTGAGTGTGGACTCCGAGCAGAACGTAGAACAGCCTCGTCTGATCTCTCTGACCAATCAGCTGAAAGCAGGGAAGGGTCTGACCATCGTTGGCACCTCAGTTCAAGGAACCTTCCTCGATAACTACACTGAGGCCCAGAGGGCAGATCAGGTCCGTCCTCTAATCTCTATCACACACACTTGTGCTTTTACTACATCTTCAAACACATGAATACAGTCAGTTTTTCACACACAGCCATCTTCCTCTCTCTCTGTATTCGTAGTCTTTGCGTAAGTTGATGGAGACAGAGAAGGTGAAGGGCTTCTCTCAGGTGGTCATCTCCTCCAATCTGAGAGATGGGACGTCCCACCTGATCCAGGTTGGAGGACTGGGAGGTCTGAAGCACAACACTGTGATGGTGAGCTGGCCCCGAAACTGGAAACAGCCTGAGTATCACCATCAGTTTAGGAACTTTATCGGTAAGTCTTAAGTGACTGGTAAAATAATGTCATGACATAAAAGAATGAATGTTAGTTTTATGTGATTTCCCTCTTCATCCATTCAACATCTTATTAAGTCTGATTAAGTTTTATCCTAAAATGGTTAAATCTTTCTTCAAGTTTAATTATTTTCTACATTAAACATCTGTGACCAGATGGGAGTAGTTAATAAGTTATAATAGTTTTATCATTTTAAATGCACTTTCACTCCATCACTAGAGAAATTATGTGTATTTTACTAAATAACCCATTTACCATCTAATGGGATGAATTAAACAAATAAAAATAAGACCATTCCCAGGCCCTTCATTACATGTTATAATCCTTTGTCTTCTGTCCCTCTGCAGAGGTGGTTAGAGAGACAACAGTAGCCAGTCTGGCCTTGTTGGTTCCTAAGAATATCTCCAGCTACCCGTCCAATGGAGAGCGCTTCACTGAAGGTCACATAGATGTGTGGTGGATTGTACATGACGGAGGCATGTTGATGCTTCTGCCCTTCCTGCTGCGCCAACATAAGGTGGGAGACAGGACACAATGAAATATTGTTCACATTTGAGAGGGTTTAATTAGGTTTAGTTTGAAGAAAACCTTTGTAAATACCGAAGGGACACAGTGTAGAGGGTTGAAAAGAACACTGAGAACATTTTGTTCATGTCTGTGAATGTTCCTGTTGTGTCCCGTAGGTGTGGAGGAAGTGCAAGATGCGCATTTTCACTGTAGCTCAGATGGATGACAACAGTATCCAGATGAAGAAAGACCTCATTACCTTCCTCTATCACCTGCGTATTGATGCTGCGGTGGAGGTGGTGGAGATGGTGAGAGACTTGTCTGACACATACTCAGAGTTCACAAACAAATCGTGCAAAGAGTGGATTTTTGTTTTGAAAACTGCTTTGTGAAGCCAAACTTTCTTCCATAGTATGACTCTTGTTTCAGCATCTGACAACTGTATAATAAAGGTCAAATGTATTTCTTGCTTTAAAGCATGACGGAGACATCTCAGCCTACACCTATGAGAAGACATTGGTAATGGAGCAACGATCACAGATCCTCAAACAGATGCATCTGACCAAGAATGAGATGGAGAGAGAGGTAAACCAGCAATGTTTATACTATACATAACTGGAGAAACCTTAATATCTACACAAGGCTCATATAATTTGAAACCTGAAATTTTAGTCAGTATAGGCCCCCGAAGAACATGTCATGTCTGATTTCATTATCACTGTGCGCTCCAAATATCAGCTCTCAGGCAGGGAATTGGTTTATAATAAGGTGTCTGTGTCTGGACTTGTTTTCACTGATCTGAGGGGGGAAAGAATGAATTCCCAAGGGAAATTACAAATTGACCCAAACCCATTTCCTCGCTTTTTTTTATAACTATAGATCCAGAGCATTACGGATTCATCCCGTGGGTCCATCCGCCGTAAAAACCCGTCTGCCATGCGCTCCCAGCACAGCACCGAGGAGGGAGCCAGCCTGGCAGAAAAACCAGAAGACGAGGTAATCCAGCCGTGGCCCTTTAGGAAGAAATAACTTGTTTATTTACAGTACCCTCCACACCTGTTGTCTCCCTGTTCACCAACTTTGGAAGAGTCTTCATCGCTTTCACAGCAATGTTTTACTCTTTCCACTGGTCGCTCAGTGATGTCCCACTGGCTCCCAGAGTTTCCCCTATACTGACATGTGTCTCTTCTCTCTCTTTCACCCTGTCACAATGTCACGTCACGGTGTCCCTCTCTCAGTCTGTGGCTGTCTCCAACCCAAAACAGGTACAGCTGATCCACACTAAGAACGCTTCCACACCAACCAGCCCCACAAGCCCCACGTCTCCCGCTGGGCCCGCAGGGGGCGCTGCCACCTGGACGGACAACAAGGGCGCAGGCAAGGGGCCGACCCTTTTATCAGCGAACCCAGAGCCAGGCAGAGACCACTTCAACATGAAGCCGTGAGTGACCTGATCAGTTTCACGTAGCTCAGCATGCTGCACAGGAAGCAGACATAGCGAGGGTCAATGGTCAATATTTGTGTGTATCGACCCTGGTCCGGGGGTTTAAAGAGATACATTTTGTTCCTGCACATGTGACAAACAAAACTTTGAACTTAAACCTCAAACAAATGCAGCATCTTGTGTGAGCACGTGTCCGTGTATGTTATTAACTGTAACTGTTTCCCTTCCTAACATGCTTCCCTAGGGAATGGGAGAACTTGTAAGTATTCACATTTTGTAGCGAGACATACTGCGTGAGCTAAGCAGCTAAAAAAAAAACGATTTGTAAACCAAACCTAATGTGACCTAATGTTTCTTGCATTAGGAACCAGACTGATTTGAGGCGAATGCATACAGCTATGCGGCTCAATGAGGTCATCACAAAGAAGTCCAAGGAGGCCAAACTTGTCCTGCTCAACATGCCCGGACCACCCAAGAACCGTATGGGCAATGAAAACTGTATCCTACATCGTACATACAACGTGCTTTATTCCTTATGTCTTTGTGTACTTGGCTCAGTTCAGTTCAGATATTTTTTTGTCACACAAGCTGGCACAATTAAACATTATGAGACAATTGAAAACATTAAAAGTGCTCTATACATATACACAGTCTAGTTGAGTAATATATATATTGTATAAGGTACAATGAATAAACTGTTTCAATATTTAATTAAAAGTAATAGGCTATGGTTGAAATAGTTAATCGATGAGGATAAATGGTTGAGATAGGTATAAAAGTAATGGAGAAATAATTTAAATAGTTGGTGGTTTTAATAGTTAGCTAAAATTAATGGATAAATGGTCAAAGTTGCTAAAAGTAATGGATACTGTGAGCTTGTGTGTGTCAATCAAGAGTTATTTGAGTTCATCTGACGGTGTTGTGGGGTTACATCAGGCAGAAAAGGTTGGAAACCACTGCTCTGAATCACGTTGTATAACATATTGCTTGGTTTGTACACTTTTGGGGTAAAGTAAAGTGCATTCCTTCACTGCGACTGTCTCTCAGACATGGAGTTCCTTGAGGTGCTCACTGAAGGTCTCAACCGTGTCCTCCTAGTGCGTGGAGGTGGACGTGAGGTCATCACCATCTACTCCTGAAGGGCTTTATACGGCACCTACACAGACTCTGCCCTCTGCTCCCTTTGTATTATTCCAGGAAAAAACCTCTACTCGTTTAACCTTTTAACCGTTAGAGTACACAAAGAATTACGCAGCAGTCCCCTCTCTGTTCTCAACTTGTCAGCTGATAACAGCAGATGAGTTTATGGTTAGTTCCGGAAGAAAAAAACTCCCAAAACATGGGAAATGGAAGGTTTTTAAACATTTATGTCCCCTTTCTGATGTGTTACATCACATTTCTGTCGTTTTGCTTTGTTCCTGGTCATTTGTAAAAGAGGAATATTTTTTCTTTATCATTTTTTCTTATTTTCTTTTATTTATTATTGATGTTATTTATGTATTTATTCATCTAATCATGTCTGTCTTTGTCCTGGTCTGTTTTTGTCTTTCATTGTATGGTTGGAAGCGCATAATGGTAATGGAAAAGGGTTGTATAAGAACCTTCCTATGTCCATACACACACTCACTTATTAATTTATGTTGAAGTATTAAAGAAGCGGAGGTGGGAGATGCATGTCAAAATGTACAGAAATTCCCAAAACAGACAACCCAGTTACACCAAATCGATTTACCACTTAGTTTGCACTTGTGTTCAATTTGCAGTTTATGCCTCGGCCATCCTGAGAACAACAATATCATCGCTAGCTCGTCCTTGTTATGGCAGGGATTTATCTGTTTATTTATTTGTCAGAGAGAGCTTCGCAGACATTTGAAATGATTTGATGCAGATTATCCTGACCAAACCTGACTGACTTCATTATCCCCACAGTTGGATAGATTGAATGGACTTAGTGACATGCTGCAATACAAAGCCTTTGAGCTCAGCAACAGCCACTTTAAATACTGTACATTCACCAATCATTTTATATGTATTACCTCCTGTGTTCTGCAGTTATGTAGCCATGTTTCCCATCACGCCCAGTAAATGTCTTGTTGTGCTAGTTGATCAGGGTGCGCTGGGATCTTTTTCTCTCTGGTGTTTTGTGAGTAAAAGTACATTTTTACATGATTTCAAGTGGCATATGAAATCTGCATTTTATCTCTATATACAAAATTATTCTAACTCTTTAATTAATAAACCCTCCTCCTTCCTGATTACTTACAAACTAAATGTGCCAATATATATTGTAATAATGTTTTGATACCAGCTTTAGAATCAAGTACAGAAAAAAGTAATAAATATGAGATTTTAACTGGAATTTAAATGTAAAATATAAACAGTTTTCAGATGAGGCACCTGGAAGTTCTGTGGAAATATGAATTACATTATTACTTATTATGTGAGTAAAACAGATATTTTACGACAAAAGTCAGTGTTCATAGATACACACTGACAATATATCATACATTTTATTTTAGAGAATTTATTTTTTAATGGTGAGGTTTAGAAAGGTAAAAGTAATTTATTTAAAATATTTTAAATATACTGTATTTTAAGCATGGTAAGCACTTAGTATTAAAAGGGTAGTCTGACATTTTGGGATATACGCTTGTTTGAGTTCTCGCCCAGAGAAGATTGATGGCATCTCTCTCAGCCACGCGACAGTTAGCTTAGCATAAAGACTGGAAAAAGCAAGCATGACTCCAAAGATAACACAATCCGCCTTGCAGCACCGCAAAATCTCACAAATTAAAACGTTTGCTTTTTGTACAGATTAAAAAAACAACACATAACATGGTAATGTGTGAGCTTTAGAGGTGTTAGTAGGGTTGTTATACATTTAAACAGAACCAGGCTAGCTGTTTCCCCCCTGTTTCCAGTCTTTGTGCTATGCTAAGCTAACCAGCTGCTGGCTGTAGTTTACATATTGACTGTACAGACATGAGAGTGGTTTCAATGATCTCGTCTAACTCACGGAAAGAAAGCGATTAAGCGTATTTCCCAAAATGTCAGACTGCTTAAAATGTTAATTTGCTGCTATACTAATGCACACCAATGAAAATGTGAAGGAATTAGCGGTGATGTTGACAAACATTAGACACAGATACCTACAATGAGAGAATTTTAGTGGAATCTCGGAAGGTGCATATTCAGCCGCTTTAGCATGATTTATGCATTAAGTCATGTTATCCTGCAGAGTACCTCTCAGACATTGTTTTTTGTGTGAGTGTGTCTACAATGAATGTTTAGTTTCTATTTTGTGTGTGGTTTGGTAATTTTTGAACGTATATTAATTCATGCACTTGTGCTGTTTTGTAGACATCACACTGATTCTGCGAACATTTTACAGGATATGACCAGTACGAGTTTGGCCAGTGTACATTATCTTACCCAGAACGTGCATAGTTGTATTGAAACAAAGCATTTAGTATAATTTTTTTATATATATAGTTTTTGTTCAAACGTGTATGTAGTAGTTGATTTTATTCTCCTCTTTCCTGGCCTAATTGGTGCCATAAAGTATTTTTAGGTATTAGGTATGTTTACCAGGAAATCATAGGACTTGTAAGTATCCTTTAGATTTATTGTATAGTAGCATACAGAATCTCACCTCATCATACACATATTGATATGTCTTATTTATGGTGACTATCTGTGCAGCCCTCAGTATTTCCCTTATAACTCTGAAATGTGTATCTGCAGAACATTTGCAACAACAAAAACTGTATTAACTTTTGATTTGATTTTGAAGATGGTGTAGTTGTACAGGTCGATATATATATCGGTCACTGGTCTGCAGAAGTTGAGAGTCACAATTTTTGAACTCCCTCAACCAGAGTGTGTGTGTGTGTGTGTGTGTGTGTGTGTGTGTGTGTGTGTGTGTGTGTGTGTGTGTGTGTGTGTGTGTGTGTGTGTGTGTGTGTGCCTGTATGGTAATTGAAGAGCAAGAGGGAGTGAAGATGGGACATTTGTAAATAGATCTGTGATTTTAGACTTAGAGATAACACGTGTAATGTGTATTAAAACAGAAAGGTTTTATAGATATAAAATAGGCAGTTTGTATTGTCTTTTAAAATGATACAATTTCTTCTATGTTCTACTGTGTATTATGCAATTATGTACAAGTAATGGTATAAAGAAGCCATTTTATATGTCGGCACAAAATGCAATAAATTAAAATAATTTTAATACAACAGTGATCGTTCTGGTGTCATTTTTTTCTCGAGATATCTTGGCCGGTGGGAGGCTACAAATTCAGAGATACATGCTAGTAAGTATATTCGCCAGTTTTGTGTTTACTAATTGTTCTTTCCTTCTGTTGTATTTTCAATCAGTAAGCTTGCCCAGTCATATTTTGATTACCTGATACCTTTATCTTAGGGGAGATTTGCACCAAACACAACAGCAGCTTATTTTCTCAAGCTACTGCTCACAAGGAACACAAATTAAATACAGTAATTGCTGGACCTGACAGGACATGTCACATGATTCACTTGCATTAATCAAAGGACTGTGATCAGGCTAATGGTTGTACAGTTTTTTATAAAGTTTAAATCTATGGATAAAAATATTTGAGAATAAAATGACATATTCAATAATGTATTTTAAGTATTTCAGATACACAAATACAAATACATATTAAGTATTTTGTTACAAATACAAAATACTCAAAAGTAACTAAACACATATTTCAAATACATTTAATCAAAATATTGCCCCTCTCTGCTTTAAGCTAAATGCTAACAAGTCCTCAATAACAATGCTAACATGCCGATGTGCAGCATGTATAATGTTTACCAGTCTTAATTAAATGTGTTAGCATGCTATCATTAGCTGATACGCACGAAACGCAGGCTGATGGGAGTGTCAATCAACAAAAAATCAAAATTCTGACCTGATGCTGCTAAGGAATCACTAAGGTCATCATAATTCTTCCTCTGGGAACCATGAATATATGACATTTTGTGTCAAACCATCCAATAGATGTTGAGCAATTTCACTGGATAAGTGAAACTTTTGACCTGCTCGTGGCGCTACAGGAAATGTCAGAAGGTCATCAGTCAGTAAGATTCATCCTCTGGGGGACCATGAATGTTTGTACAAAGTTTAATGGCAGTCAACCCATGGATAAAAAATGTTTAGAGCAAACCTTTTTGACCAGATGAAATCAGTTCCAGATAGACAAAATGTTAATTCTGCTCATAAATTAAAGAAAGCACATAAAATGTTTACAATCAGAAAATTTAGTTATTTTCATTCCACTTTTCCCTTCTCTGATTTGCAGTGAGAAATATCATTGTCACTGTCCCACCTGCGTGAGCTGGACAGTGAGTGTGTGTTCTATTGATTTTCTATTGTGATCTATTGATCTAGTAGGAATGCTGTGTGCTTGTTAGTGTTTGGTTTTCTCCCTGTCTCTCTCACTCTACTCTCGCTTTCTATTGGGGGAGTTGCACTCCTGCTTGCAATGTCATCAGCGAACTCCTGCCGAGAGCACACATGTGGCGGATCCTCATCAGGAGTTTATATAATAAAGTGATGGCAGCATTCCTCGCTGTTGGCCTGCAGTTCCTAGTTTCAGTAGTTTTCAGGCTCTCAGTAGTTTTTCTTTTCTGCAACTTGAAATTTCTTTTGTACTTTGTTGAGTATTCTTCAGTAAAAAAAATTATTAATTTACCTACTCCTGTGTCTCCGAGTCTGAATCTGGGTTCTTCCACCTACCTTGAAGGCACTGAACCACCTACCACTGAAGGCACAAATACAGCTACTCCCAAACAAAATTGGTTAAAAAAAGGCAGATCAAAATATATAAAATTGTAATAATCACAGCATGACAAAAGCATTACAGTTTAATAGCAACATGAATGATGTTACTGTATATATAAAAGCTTATAATGCATATCTTTATTGTTAGATTACACCCATTTGTGCTAAATGCATTCATAATGTTATCGCTCTATCTAATAAACATTTATTCTGATGTCAGGTCTGCATACGCTTTGCAATAAGATAACCACAAAAACGCTGATGTATGAGAACACATATGTCTTATTACAATGGCCAAAGTCCAATGCAGCACTGTTTCTCTGCAAGGGGAATAAAGCTTGTGTTTGTGTGAGAGACAGCAGGCTTGACCATTTGACTTGTCTTATCTAGACAGAGATAATGCAGGCTGCAAAAGAAATGACTGCCATTCGCTCCAAAGATCTGTCAGGATGAAGACACAGTCGACCAACCTTCGAGTGAGGTTACCTGGGTTTGTGTTTGTCACAGAGGTGATTATTGTTGTTTTGTATGCTGCTTTTGTCACCTACGATGAGCATGCAGACGCCAGATTTCAGAACAACAAGACTAACCCCATGGACAATGCCGTGTACAGGGACTACCCTTTTTTTACCGACATACAGGTCATGATATTCCTTGGCTTTGGGTGCCTGCTGGCATTTTTTCGACTTTATGGCTTTGGGGGGATGGTTTTTAACTTCCTCACGGCTACTTTTGCCATCCAGTGGGCCATTTTAGTGCAGGGGTACTTCCAGTTCAGCCATGATGGTAAGATTCACCTTGGAGTGATCAATCTCATAAATGCAGAGTTTGCCTGTGCTGTGGTGCTGATATCTTTCGGGGCAGTGCTGGGCAAGACGAGTCCTCTGCAGCTGCTGGTCATGGCTCTGCTGGAAGTGCCTGTGTTTGCAGTCACAGAATGGGCCGTGCTCAAGTATCTGAAGATCAACGACGCAGGAGGCTCTATTCTCATTCACCTCTTTGCCTGTTATTTTGGCCTGGGTGTCACTTTTGTACTCTACAGGCCTTCCCTAAATGAAGGTCACGCAAAGGAGAACACCAGCTACCAGTCTGACATCCTCTCTGTGATGGGGACCTTGTTCCTCTGGGTGTTTTGGCCCTCCTTTAACTCAGCTTTAACCCTGAAAGGAGACGACCAGCACAGAGCCATACTCCACACCTTCATCGGCCTCAGTGCCTCCACGCTCACAGCTTTCGCTCTCTCTGCCATGCTGAACAAAAATGGAAAGCTCACCATGGCTGATGTTCAGAATGTGACCCTGGCTGGAGGCGTGACGGTCGGGGCATCTGTGGATATGATGATATCGCCTGCAGCTGCGTATGCTCTAGGTATGATGGGCTGCATTGCGTGTATGCTGGGCTACAAGTACTTGAGCCCTTTCCTGGCACGGCGCCTCAGGATCCAGGATCAGTGTGGAATACATAATTTGCACGGTCTAACTGGACTTATATCCTGTGCTGCTGGGATATGTGCTATACTGATGGCTAAAGAGGAGGTTTATGGCCCCAGTTTGTATGAGATCTTTGCCCACAGAGCACCAGTGGAAGGAGACCCTAAGCTCCAGGAGCTCCAGATGTTGATCCCTGGGTTACAGCCAGGGTTGGGAAGAACTGCCAGGGAACAGGCTCTGTTCCAGGTCGCAGCTGTGTTCTCCACAATAGGAGTGTCAGCGCTGGGAGGCGTCCTTACAGGCTTTGTGTTGAAGCTGCCGCACCTCGCGTCACCATCCGATGAGTTCTGTTTTGACGACGAGACGTTTTTTGATGTTCCTCCGGACTACGATTCACCACTTAAACTCAATAACACAATTACAACAGAGGATTCTGCTGCTTGACATGCAGCAGCCAAGTGTGGTCAATGCATGTGACTGAAGAAGAAAATGTAAATACGCCTATGACTATTAACTACTAATTCAATGTTTATATCCATTACATTGTAAATTATTTGATTAATATCTAAAAACACTGTCGGGTACACTGTCCAAAACTATCTAATACAATCAGTAATTGTGTTATTTATTGTCTTTCATGAAAACATAAAAGTAAATTAAGTGTTATTGCTCTCTTGGCCAAATTCTCATAAGTTTGGGATGTGAAATTCTCTTTTTAAGTTGTGTGCCATTTTTTCTTCAAGTAATTATGTCAATAATTCAAGCTGTGAAGAGGGAGAACAAACAATTAAAGCTTGAGATGTACGATCTTGTTTCAAGGGAGTTTTCTGACATGAAAGCATGTAATGTCCAACAATTTCTAAAAATGAAAACATAATATTTACACGTAATAACACAAATAAGCAAACAGGGCTTGAATCTCTACACTAATATTTAAAATTTAATTAAAAAATACAGATAGGAACTAAAGCAGTAATGAAAGATGAAGTTAAATACAATCAAAAACAGGAGCGAGAAAGTCTTGTAAAAAAGCAAATAATAAAATAATAAAATCCTGAGTTGGGGGAGTTATTTCAGTCTGATGGTGCTTTAAAGTTAATCATCGCCTAGTTTCTTTACAAATTCAAGGTACACAAAAGAAAGGGTGTGACATTTGTTTAACTGAGTATGATGATTTAATGGAACTAAAAGCTGTTTTTAAAATGCTGTACATGCATTTCAAAACAAGTCTCCCAGCTTTAAGTGGAAACCAGTGAAATTGTGGGAAAGCGCTATTTCAAAGTCCACCGATGTGTAAGATAAGGAGTAAAGAGAGTATAAAGAGTAACTAACAGATATTTTAAACTGCATTCAAAGGATGGGTTTCAGAGGTGTTCTGGTACATGATGTTATAATCTATAACAGGGAATAAAAGATGGGGGTCTATTCGTTTTATCACTTTGTTGTCACTGTTGTACTGTGAATAGCTTTTTAATACAACTCAAACTATAACACTAGATGGCGACATAGAGCCGTGACACAAGGTCCTCTCACTGAGTTCTCGCGTGGAAAAGCGCGATTCCAAAGTCCCACGGGACTTTGTGCCCTCAGTGATGCTTTACAGGAGAGGAAGAGGAGGGTTGTTCCTGTGAGAGAAGAAGCTGTTAGTCCACGGACCTTCAGGGGACGCCAAAGCAAAGGCCACTGAACTTTCAGCAACAACCATTACTCCTAACTTCCTGTCTACACCGGAAGTGGAAATCATACAGAATTTCCTCTAAATTTCTGATCTGCTTTTATGTTATGGCCCACCTGTTCTGGACCTATAAGAGCTATATAGGGACCATTGACAGTATATATATATAAGTATTTAAATGTATGGTAGTGGTGAAGGAAGTATTCAGGTCCTAAAAGTACTGACCACACTGTAAAGTCTTACATTTGAAATGTTACTTAAGGAAAATTACAAAGGTTTTATCAGAAAAGTATCAAATCCTCAAAAGTACTCACTGCAGAGAAATTGGCCCTGTGAATGTATATAATAGTATATATACACATATATACTATTTACTCTTTATATACACATATATACTATTTACTATTTATATACACATATATACTATTTTGTTAAGATATAACTCTACTAGTGTTGAAGCAGCATTTTCTCTTACAGTTTTTTTTTTTAACAATTTTACATTGGGTCGTAATTATTATTTTCATTAGGGATTCATTTTTATTTTGTCCAATCCAAACCTCAAATATTCAGTTTAAGCTACATTTTAAGACAAGAAATGCAGTATACGTTCACATTTAAGAAACTGAAGCTGTGAAAGGTTTGACATGACTTAAAGGATTATTCGGTTTTTAAATCTGTGACTGACTCATTGTCTGATAAGTGGCAAATCTACAAATGAATGAATTGACTAGAAATGCATCATGTTAAAGTAACTACAGCTGTCAAATAATTGCAGCAGTGGAGGCAGAAGACCTCAGTTTCAGAAAAGAGAGCGGTCAAGTTTGTTGTGTTTATTTCATTATGTCATTGTTTTGGCAATGTACACATCTGTTAACTAAAACTAAACTAAAAACTAAAACTAGGTCTGAAAAAACATTTCTGTTAACTGAAATAAAAATAGAAACTATATAATATTGTGTTCTTACACAACTAACAAACACTTTAGTTGTATTCATTTATTACTTTATTTTATTATTATTTATTAAAAGAAGTTTACAACGAGCTCAAACATCTTGTGTATACAGCTTGAGTCTATAATCACAAATACACCAGGGGAAATGTCTTTAGTTTTAGTCTTTGTTAATTTCTCAAATTTAATTTCTCAACACTACAAGCATGAGGAGGCATCGGTGCTTCTGTTGATTGAGACTGGAATTCATGACTGTGAGTCAACTGTCCCCCCTCAAGTGTTTTTATTGTAAAAGGCCTTCCTATTCTGACCCTGACAAATAGCCTCCATATTCTTATATTAACCAACACTGAAACAAATAAAAACTAGGGTTGCACACAGACAGATATTGAGATATGATTCACAATTAGTGTGGGAATTAACATTTTTGCATCACAAATTTAAATTTCACAATGAAAAAAACAATTAAAATCATGATGATGTGACTTTTGTTGGTGTCTGTACCAAACAAACATCTGGAGAGCAGGATTTGTATACACTGCAGCACTACAGAGCTTCATTATAATGCTGTCACACATTTTACTTTTATCAAACAAATTGCAGATTGTGGCTGACCCCTGCCACCCTGGACATAAACTCTTGGAGTCACTTCCCTCTGACAAGAGGCTGCAGTGTATCAGAACCAAAACTTCACGCCACAAGAAAAGTTTTTTCCCGTCTGCAGCTGATCTCATCAACAAGGGGCCAGAATCCTCACTGACACTGACTCTTATACCCACCACACACCATGAACCTATGCATTACATTAATGCACATCTCTTGGGGAATTAAGGGTGATTGGGACAGTTTATAAATTTCTTTCTTGTGAAACCTTTCTTGCCATAAATTAAAAACATTAGCCCAACACATGACACATTTCTGTAATACTGAAGATGTAAACTACCCATTTGAAGATGAATGAAGGTTATATCATATTCTAAGGAAGCGTGGCGTACCCTTTTGTCTACACTGATCCAAAACTTTTTTTTGCTGTTGTAATATTGGGGTGATTCGGACAACACTTCTTATCATTATTTTGGGCTAGTGTAAGCTTATATATATATACAGTATATATATATCACGCACTTTAATTCATACTTTGACATAATTTCACATTTCTTCTTCATGTTCATCATTATGAATTAATACTCCATGCTCATTTCACTCAAATGTATTATATATTATATATATATATATATATATATATATATATATATATATATTGCCTCTCTCTATTGTCTCTATTTCATCTTTATTTATATTGTTGTATGTTTATTGTCATGCACCAATATACCAAGGCTAATTCCTTGTGTGTGAAAACCTACTTGGCAATAAAAACACAATTAAATCTGATTAACTGTGCAGCCCTAATAAAAACTAGACCAAACATTAAACAAAACTGGAACCTGAAACTAAAAACTAGAAACGAAATTAAAAAAATATAAAACTTCGAATAACAAACCACAACATCTATCTCTAACGCCGCTTTGAACTGAACTGAACATCTCCTGTAGGTGGCAGTAGGAAAACACAAAATATTGCCGCTGCCGTGAAACCCTCAGAGTAGAGGAAGAAGACGAAGCAGAAGGAAGGCGAGCATTTTGATACCAGGCCACGACCTGCTGCGACGGAGAGTTGCTAACGTTAAAAAAAAAAAAAAAAAAAAAGGTTACATAACTTCGACAATTGTGATTTCATCTTAGCATTGTGTGATCTGCCGAGAAAGGAGGCGTCGAGGCGAGTCTCTCCAGCAGCACATTTCCCGTGATATTTTGACTTTGGCACATCATTTCATCAATTTTAAACGGTAACGTCAATGTTTGCTAATGGAGCTAGCTCGCTAGCCGCGGAAACGCTGTTAGCTGGCCATATTGGCTCTCTGCTCTTCACTTACCGCTTGTTTTTTTCCCCCTCACTTTGGGGTTATGATGTTTAAAAGCGATTCTCGATTCACATGTGTACACGTTTATTGAGATTCATACCACCTGTCTGTCTAGAATTCATAATAATAATAATAATAATAATAATAAAGGGTCACTGAGCTAACGTTCAAACGACGGAGACGCTAGCTTACCGAGGTGGCTAGTTAGCGTTAGCTTCGTGCTTCCGAGTGCAACGCGTGTTTATCCATTATGTTACCTCTTATGGTGATATGTGTCGGCCTGTGAGCTCTGTTGAGTCTACAACGTTGAGATTGGTGAAGTTAGTCATATTAGCTGTATTTAAACGTATTTCATTCAAGGTTACATTTTGTTTTATTTCGGGGGGGGATATTAAGGAAGTTGGGCAAACTACTTGAAACGCTCTTATCTTCGCTATCTAACTTATTTTTAGCAAACGTTAATCTAGCAGTAATTTACTGGGTTTACACACACACACACTGGTCGTATAAATAGTCAGTGGTTTCGGTTTAGACATTCTCGGACTTAACATGTAAACGAAATGTCTGGTTTCAGTTATCAGGTCAAGTAAAAGCTGTTTCACAAATGTAAATGTGTGTTGGTGAAACCCGCGTAAACCCTCAAACCTTTATTTGTATGCAGTTACATGACAAAAGGGTCCAAGACAGAAAGTATCAGTGTGGTTAGCTAAGAAAACAAATGACTAATAATTACATCACGTTATCCAGATTATTGCTTAAACGTGACAGTAATAAGTTTCTTGTTTGCATTTAAAGACGGTCATTGTTGTTTCTTTTTTTACAGGATCATCATGGCTGATGATTTTGACGTAGAGGCCATGCTGGAGGCTCCATACAGAAAGGTGGGTTGCAGATTACAGAGATGAGGCCTGTTTCACTGTTATGATTTACTCTTGAGTCCTTTATATTTGCTACTGTGACAAAGTTTACTTGAATGTTGTGTGGTGTGATTGAGTATTTAAAACGCAATACAGAATTATAAATAAATCCACATCTATCTCTCTTTATAGACTTCCCTAATGATATCTCACCTCTACTCCCATGAATTCATCTTTGATTCCACTGTGAACTGTGAAAAAAAGGAAGGTAGTTATTGTGCATATACTGATGTACTGTGGTTCACCTTAGGACTAAAAGAGATTCAACCTAGAACATCCAATCCGTATTCGGTTGCAACAAGGTGAATGCCAATGGTTGATAAGCCCATCCTTACCTGTCCAGCAAAGGAGGCAGTATTCAGATTTACAATCTGCATGCCATCTCTGTTTCTGAATATACGTAGATACTTTATTTATCCCGAGGGAAATTCAAGAAATATGCAATCTTATATAATCAGGTTTAAAGCCCACTTACACTGTGTGGCTTTGACAAGAATGTATCAGTCTGTCATCAAGTGATTCAACTTTCACCTAATTGCTCTTTAAGTAAAAAAAATCATCATTTATTAAATTTTGTTTAGATTTTTTTTTTTTTAACCTAATATTCATAAGGGATGGTGTTTTATCAGACTATTACCTCTAAATCTAAAAGTTGTAGTTGGTCATCAGTATGCTTGAAAATCCAGATATTGCAGTTGTGGAGCTTCATTATGCAAACACATGAGCCATGTCCTGATTTTATGGCAAAATACAGGTGAATAATTACTTTCCCTTGTGTGTAAATATGAATACTGCCTCTTTGCCGTAGTCAACTGTAATGTGAATCAGCATCTTGATTTTGCATGCTACACAATACCACAGATATTGATATATTACTAGAATGACTGTAAATTAGATACTTCTATCTAGCATCATTGTATTATAAAGTGAGTTACTTTTCATTAGTTAATAATTCCTTAAGTCAAAAGGTTGGAAATATCACATATATATTATGCAAACTGCAGATAATGGAAGTGTAACACGTGGCTGAATTAATGGATTTATTTTTTATTTTATTTTATTTTATTCATTTTCTTGGGCGTCAATATTACTAAGAAGTGTGAATCCCTGTTTGCTTCAGGGCAAGATGTGTGACAGAGGTGGCATCGAGCTCTTACAGTCCAAGAACGAAAATGGGTGAAGATCACTGGACTGACACCAACCACACAGGATCTCTTTTAGTGGCCATGGGCCATGCGTGGTCACATGATTAGGCACAAATAGTGGCAGTGGCATTGGTACGACTTATTAGAAGGGGAATTGGTGGAGATGATCTGACTACTGTCAAAGCTTCCTGAACTCAGCTAATATGTTGGACACTCTCCCTTAACTTTGCTTTGTTGCATTAAGTACTGAGCAAACTTGTTAACAATAAAAAAAAAAAAAAAAAAAAATACAAGAGTGGTATGGGAAGCTATTGGGGTGGTGGAAGGACACTGTCCGGACATGACAGTAGGAAGTTTGAAGTATTATTATTAATTGAATATATTCTGCATTTTCTCTTGTCCCACCCCACCCCCTTTACCTTGACGACTTGAAATGTTTCATCTACGTCCTCATGATGTTCTTCTATCAACCTTGCTTAGGATGAGATCAAGTCCTCTCATGCAAATGGACATGACGACCAGAGCAAGAAGTAAGTTCTGAATATATTAACGTCATGTCTCCGGACTACATAAAACTGTTCATTTCATTTAAAATGTGTTCACTTTGCACGACGATAGCAGTGTTGTAACATGTTTCAGGAAAAGGAGGAGCCGAAGCAAGAGCCGAAGCCCTGGCTCTAGGAAAAGAAGAAGTAGAAGCAAAGACAAAAAGAAGGGTAAGAAGAGGAGCAGAAGCCGAGAAAGAAAACGAAGCCGCAGCAGAGAGCGCCATCGCAGCGGCTCCCGAAGCAAGGAACGTTCTGGGCGATACAAAGCACGCAAGAGCCCCGTGTATGTAACCTTTTTTTAAACTTGATGGCATTTACACTCTGTCTCTATTTTATTAGATATCTTTACAACATCAGAAATGTGTAAATACACTTTTATGTTTATTATTGAGGAAGTTAAAGATGATGTACTAGACTAAAGTCTAGTGAGCCAGCATCCTGAAACTGAATTAGCTAAATGGAATTTAGCCGTCATTAATTTTATAATGTATACTTTTTCCTACTGTATATGTGAAAAGCCCCTCTCTACTTGGGAGAACTGGAGGCATTTAGGATGCTGGAGCAGGAA